AGGCGAGTTGGTAAGAGGCGAGTCGGTCAGGGGGTGAGTTTACGAGGGGGCGAGTTGGAAAGGGGCGAGTCGGTAAGGGGCGAGTCGGTCAGGGGGCGAGTTGACCTGACACCGATGGATGAATGCCCAGGCCTGACGATTATAATTTTTTGATTTGGCAATTTTTTTCAAAACTCAGCTCAACACTGACATGAAATGAACACCTAAGTTACCTTTCCCTTGTGTCTCTATCTGTCCTTTGCTGCGATGTCGTCCGGTTTTATGGGCTTTATTTTGCTGTTTAAATGGTCCCGATCTGTGTGTTTCCTGTCCACTGTTTGCAGCCATCTTGCTCAATCACGCACGTGTTCTCTTGAGTTGCGCCACCAAGTGGCGAAAATTATAGCGTCCCAACATGGCAGCGTCCACGATTGTCGAGGTTTGTGCATGCATGTTTTCCTTCCTCCATAGTTTGTGCTACTGCTAGTCTGAGCCGCCTCTTTTAACATTTGGACATGGTGGCCCAACCATGTCCAAATGTTAAAAGAAGTAATTCGTAGAGTTATTGTAAGGAACACTTAGTGGCGCCTTTACATGGAATTCTTTCTAGCCTAGGGCCTACAGTACTTCTACTTCTGGTTCATCATGTTCATTCTTGCTCTATGGTTCATGTACTACTAGTCCTACCTAGGCCTATTCCGGATTGCCTTCTTTCTGAACAGTATGCACTACTCCGTAGGCCTTACTGCACTCCACTTTTTTGATGGTTCCGCACGCTATGGCATTTTAAAACCTGCCCAGTAGTCGTACTACATAAAACATCTATTTGCGCTTGCTTAAGCAAATCTTCCCCTAAAGATCCTAGGCCTATACAGGCCTAGGCCTAATATTCCTAGGCCCCCTACATAGAACTACCGTCCTCAAGTGTATTTTGTAGCATTTAACCTAGCTCTACTGAGTGGAGCGTTAGTATTCCTCTTTTTCAAATTTTGGACTGGATCGATCCAATTTTGCAATAAATACAGTAAATCCCTGAATTACATGGAAAACAGACACTTTATTAGTCTCACAACTTCACAACCGTAACTTTGCAAGACATCATCATTCCCTGAAGTACATGTTTCTCAAACATTTTAAATGTGTGTAAACAGCTAGCTTGACATCGCAGCATACGTCGCGCACCCTGACATCACCGCTCCTCCCGCTTGCAAAATGGTCCAACCGATATGTAATTAGATTGGTTCCCTGACCACAGATTTCCCAGACATATCTATACATAATCTTAACGAGAGTAGGCCTAGGCCTAGTCGGAATTACTGGGTGACGTTCGTTACGCGAATACGTTGCATCTGTTTTTGTCACATGTCATATGGCCACAAGATAATGCAGATGTGTGAGGATTGTCACAGCGTTTGTCATGCACTCTGCCTCTCCCAAAGAGAGGCTGAGCATGCAATGAACACAGTAGGGGTACATGCTCATATGTGTATGTGGGGTACATGCTCATGTGATGATGTCAGCACTGTAAGGCTGCTTCAGGAAAGAGATCCGTATCCAAGCTACCATCTTAAGCATTGGTTGGCTTATGGGCTATGAGAAAAAATGTTTAATGTCATTAGGCCAACTTACAAACAACCCTTGAAATTTTTTCACCCCTAAATTAGTGTGTCTTCGTCAGATGTAAACTTTTGGGTGGTTATCAAGCTGTATTAAGGAAGATGAGTGGAAGCAGGATTGGGAACTTTTTCCCTGGTTTATAGATTCTTGACTGCGTTGTTTGTATATGCCTTGTTGCTCAAAGAGGCAGATGATGAGCCCCAGAGATAACTTCTAGGGGTAGGCTCACACAATGTACTCGGCACAATTGTTTTATGTCGAATATGCAAATTCACAAAAGTTGAACATACAGTATTTTAACTCAGCGAAATTTGCTGAAGAGGTTTGGTGATGTCAAATTCACCTTACGTACGTCACTTGCTTGAAGTATGAACAGGGTTTAAGGTATACCACACTTACTTTAAGGCATAGACGTACAACATGTACCAAAATTGTAAAGAATTTCACATTTTGTAGCAACATCCTTTCCAAAATGACTCCTGGATCCTTCAGTTGTGGAGATGGTTAAATGGAAAATCATACATGTCAAAGTGTAAAGAAAATGAATTTGTATATAGCTTCCAGTATTGTGGTGTATGTGTAGAGACTCTGCTCTCTTTATGTCATTGCCATATTTTTGTCTATCGTGGAATGGTTGGTGAAACTATAACTGCTTGACAGATGAAAGGTAAAAATAATTGCTGAGTATAAAAACTGTCACGTGAGTATCAAAACACCAAACATTTATAACTTCGACTAATACTTTAAAAAGAAAATATGATTCTTTCAACTAAATGGAAAAAATATACAGCTTGGGATAAAATCTGATGCAAGCAAATGGTGATATTTCTGCACAATTTGGCCACCAATATGAATGGTTGGCAAGGAGAGGGTTGAGAAAGGGCCATACCTACATGTATGGTCAGTATGTATAGTGTACATACTTAT